TAGGATGGGGGGGGGCAGGGCTAATTCTTACCAGGACTGTGTAGCCTGCATGTTTGTTTGGGGGTTTTTTTTGGGGGGGGAGAAAGAACAGGGGAGGTGGTGTGGGAAGGACAAGGAATTCCTGGGCGTTACAGAGGTCCAGGGAGCGTAGTGGAAACAGCCCCAGCGGAGACTGGCCCCAGCGAGAAGCTGCCTGTTTATTTGCTTCATGTGCCGCCTGCCTGCCTTTCGCACGGAGGTCCAACTCAAGGCAGACTGAGGGGTGGGGGTGCCCTCGAGTCGCCGCTGGCTTACGGCGCCCCCTGGTGTGGTTTCCAAGGCAAGAGGCGCACAGAGGTGCTTTGCCATCGTTGTGACCCTGGACTTCTCTGTGGCGGTCTCCCCTCCACGTCCTAGCCGGGGCTCACCCTGCTCAGCTTCCAAGAACTGGCCAGATTGGGCTAGCCTGGACCATCCAGATGAGGTCCAAAGCCGTTCACGGTGTTATAAAAGACAATGCCATAAAGACGGTGTCGTGGATACCGTGAACAATGCAGCAAAGCACAAATTACTCTGAAGCAGAAACAGTCTGTTCCGTCGCATAAACTGGATTCTGCAATGACAGGATGCCGAAGTACAGACAGTTTGATGCTCCCTGCACACAAGGAAGTAGCGGGGGGGGGGGCTGCCTATCAATTCCACAGGCAACTAAAATTAAAATGTTATTACTGATACAGACATTGCTCTCCTGCAGAACTCTTCTTTTACCACATCCCTCATCCCTCCAGGCAAATGCCCTCCTGGGGCCTTGTAGTTAGCATCGAAGAAGGGCTGGGGGAAAGACAGCTGGAAATCCTACAGCTCCCTGGGTCTCTTGCAGCCTAGTCTACCTCACAGGGTTGTTGTGAGGACCAGTGGAGAAGGAGGAAGGACGGTCGCTGCTTTGAGCCCCTTGGAAGGAGGATGGGTTGCAAGGGTAACGGCTGGATTGCTTTTTCCTGATGGGCGCTGTGGGGCTCCAACTTGCGGGTGAAGCACAGGTGCTCCCCTCCTGGAGGAAGCTGCCAAGGAGGAAACTGCAGGCAGGTGCAGCTGGAACCGGATCTTCCTGGTCCTTAGAATCAGGTGGTCTCGGAGAACTGGTAAAGTTTCTGCCAGTTTGGTGTCGTGGTGAAGAGCGGCGGACTCTTATCTGGGGGAACCGGCTTTGATTCCCCACTCCTCCTCCACATGCAGCCAGCTGGAGTGACCTTGGGCCAGTCACAGTTCTCTCAGAACTCTCTCAGCCCTACCTGCATTACAAGGTGACTGTTGTGGGGAGAGGGAAGGGAAGGAGATTGTAAGCTGCTGTGAGGCTCCTTTGAGGCCAGCTTGGTGTAGAGAGCCAGCTTGGTGTAGTGGTTAAGTGCGCAGACTCTAATCTGGGAGAACCGGGTTTGATTCCCCACTCCTCCACATGCAGCCAGCTGGGTGACCTTGG